GGAGTGCACAGTCCTCACAAGCCTCCAAACCAGCTGCAGTCCTGGTTCTCTTACTTTGTATGACTCAAAGGGCAAGCAGGGCTTGCTGCCATCTTGAGAGAAAGGGCCTACCGGTTAAAACTGAACCACCCTGGTCGTCTTACAAGAGGAACAGCAGGAACATAGAAGTGTGAATTCAGTCGGCCACATGCTGTTAATCCCAGCACAGGCAGAGGCAGGTAGCTTCTCATTCGAGGCCGGCCTGGCCTACAGAACAAGTTCCAGAACAGCCAGGGCTACACGGAGAAACCCTGTCTCAAGAGAGTGAGTGCAGAGGTCTATCTGTGCAGAGCTCAGGCAAATCCAGGTGGAGTGAGGACCTGCCCCGCTCACAGGCTGTCAAGCGCACTGTGGCAGAGGGGAACCCCACAAAACTACAAGGCAAAGACAGATCTGGCAAATACTTGTCTCTTACTGGCTCCAATCAGCATCTAGGAAGGCCAATGGAAACCAGCAGGCTACAGTTTCCCAGGACCCAGACCAGTAAGTTACAGCAAAGAAAAAAGGGAAAGGCCACAAAGAATAAATAAATCTTAGTAAAATTCAAGGGACAGAAAAAAATCTATTCAATGAAACTACAGCAGGAAATACACACACACACACACACACACACACACACCCCTATATAGAGAAATAGACACTCTGATGCAGGAGGCAATCAGAATGTTAGGCACGGCAGACAAGAGCCCCCGCACTACGTACTAGTCGAGATGCTACCCTCAGGCAACACCACATGTAAACGCCAGGGAAACTTGGAATGGTGTATTCCCATTCCTAAAGGCAGTAACGACCTACCAAGACTGCCATACCCAGCAAAGCTATCTTTGAAAACTGACAGGGAAAAAAGTCACCACGAGACAAGTACAGCGAAAGGCAGGCGGTAGCCTCGGAGCCAGCATGGCAGGTGAGACACCTACTGGCCTACCGTGTACACTGAAGATAGCTGCAGACACAAAGAGCAAGTCCCAAGGGCGGAATGTCTGATCAAAGGAGAGCCAGAAGAAACCTACCATTTCCAGGACAGCAAACCGGAGAGGAAAAATAAAATAAAATCCAACCACCCAGAAAAAACAACCAGTAAAGTCATAAAAATCTGCAAGCATCTCTCAGCAATTCTTTAAAATGTAAAAATCCCAATTTATAGAGAGACACAGACAAGTTGAGTGGATTAAAAAGTGAGAATCGGTGGCCAACGAGATAGCTCCCTGGGTGGGGCCATTGGCAGCCAAGCGGGCTGAGCAGTTAGGGTCCCAGCTTATACAGGCTTTCCCCTCACTATATTTGCCCCGGTGCACATTGCCGTAACAATGAGGGAAATACATCCAGGAAAACACAACTGACTGACAGATACCCAGCCTGATAATCAAAGGGTGGAAGTCAGTGAGGGAAACCGAGGAAAGGTTAATACATATGAAGGGAGGTCAATAGATACGAATACAAACACACACACACACTCTGAATGCTGGGGCTTATGTTAATAGACACTGAAACAATAGTAGTGGGTATGGCGGTTTGAATGAAAATGCCCCCCCCCCCAGAAGGATTAAGAGTTGTGGTCTTGGAGGAGGTGTGACACTGGGAGTGGGTTTTGAGGTTTAAAAAGTCATGCAAAGCCTACCCCCCCCCCCCCCACTTCACCCAGTATGCACGGCTGGCTTACTGCAAGACTCTACTGGGCACCTTTGTGATGCCAAAGTCCATCTCCAGCTAAGGAGGCAAGAGGCATAAACTCAGGAAGGTGTGGCCCTGATTAGATGCTTTCTTTCAAGGTCGCCTTGGTCCTGGTGTTCTCTTCACAGCAGTATGGTGACTAGATAGGGTCCTTCTCTATGCTTCCATATGTGTTGCAGAATAGAGCCAGGTGGGAAATCCAAACAAAGATACAGAGAGAAACAAGGTGGAGTCAGGGAGATACCATGTGACCGCCAGAAAAGCAAGATGTGAGGTAACAAGCCACGAGAGACTTTGTGGCAAAAATATAAACTATTAAAAACTGAGAGAGAGAGAACTTGCCAGTAATAAGCCTGAGCCATTGGCCAAACAATTCTACTTAAATATTAGCCTCTGAGTGATTATTTCATAAGTGGCTATGGGAATCCACGAGCAAGAGAAACCGGCCCAGGGAAACCAGCAGGATAGAGAAAAACATTCAACTATAACAGTGTGTGACCGTGTTCATCATTAGGCAGATCATCCAAACTAAAAGTCAACAAAGAACCCTCAGGGTCAAAGCTCACAATGGATCAGATGGTCCTTACAGATCTACAGACAGGGAGCGTCTACAGGACCACATTATAGGTCACAGAACAGCAACTTAAGAAATATACAAGCCAGATACTTCTATTTTCCTAGCAGATCACAGTGGTATAGAGAAGAAATTAATAGCAAGTGAAACCACACAAATGCCTGAGAAATTCAGTATACTCCTTTTAAAAAGATTTGATTTACTAAATTATGTCTATATACGTATGTCTTTGTGCGTGGATATGCACACGACACCTGCAGGTGCCTCTGGAGGCCAGAGGCATGGGATCCCACCCTCTGTGGGTGCTGGGAACCCATCCAGATCCTTCTATGCCCAACCGATCGTTGGGTCAACGAAGCCATCAGGAAGGTTGTTTAAAAATCCCAAGAACGGAATGAAAATGAAAAAGCACACTCCACTAGAACTTTTCGGCCACAGCTAGGTAAGCTCTAGGAAAAAATTAGAACTTAGTGCATACATTAAAAAAAGGGACCTAAAGAGGAAGTTCAGTCAAGGTCCCAGAAAATTAGAACAAGCCAGACCCCAAAGAAGCAGGTGGTCAGAAACAAGAAAGATCAGGTCAGAAATTAATAGAGTAAACGAGAATACACAGTGTTAATCAAACAAAAGTTCATTTATTAAAAAGAAAAACAGATCTCTAACAAAACTAAGAAGAGAATAGACCTGAAATATTAAATTAAGAGATAAGAAAGGGCTTTTATAGCAAATACCAATGAGATCCACAGGGGAGATTATGAAAAGACTCTGAAAACCTAAAACTCCCCACCGAGGAAAGCCCCACACCAGACTGATGGTGCACGGCAACTCTAGAAGGAGAGTTAGCACTACTCCACCTCCTTCTCAGACTAGCCCACAAAAGGAAGGGGAAAACACACCGAAAATCACTTATGAAGCTAACAGCACCGACACCAAAGCCAGATAAAGACCCAACAAGAGAGAGAAATGGGAATCAATTCCCCCGACAAGCATGAGTGGAAATCAACTTCCCCGACGAGCGCAGGTAGACATTAGTTTCCTTCCTGTTCCTGTGATTATGTTGATACCATGACCAAAAGCAGCCTGGGGAGGAGGGGGCTCATTTCATCTTCCAACTCTTCAGGTCACAGCCGTATCACTAAGGGGAACCACGGAGGGAACACGGCTTCCTGGCTTGCTCCCCCGGACTTTCCTATACAGGATGATAACCCCCATAGTGGGCAGGCCCTTGGACATTAACCAGCAAAAAGATGTTTCCCAGTCAAACCCACAGGCCAATCGGATGGAGGCAGTTCCTCATCTGACCTTCCTGTTTCACCGGTGTGTCATGCTGACCACAAAGAATGCCACCACAATATGGACGTTCTCAATAAGTTGTGCAAACCATTATGTTACCAAAGAGCACATCAAGGACAACGAATACCCTTGCCAGTTTGATTTCATCCCTGATATGCATCAAAATTGGCACAACATATGCAGACCAACAAATGTTAAATACAACATAGACACTTCTGGGCAGAGACCACACAACTGGAGGAGCAGCCTTTGACAAAGTTCAAGACTCTTTTCTGACAAACAAATCAGGACAGATTCAAGACTCTTTTCTGACAAATCAGGACAAAAGGAACAGAACAAAGGATGTTTATACATAAACCCACACATAAATTATAAACAAACATTGAAAAGCTGAAAGTATTTCCTTTTGAGTCAGGAATGAGGCAAATGTGCCCATTCTCATCACTTTTGCTTAACACAATGTTCAAAATCGTAGCTAGAGCAATAAAACACGGTCACAGGAGGGGGGGGAGGGCAGGAATGAGACAGCACAGCAGGGGATGCTTGCCCTGGTACAAGGCAGGCCGCCTGAGTCTGAACCCTGAACCCACGGTACAAGGGAGAACTCTCACTCTCCACAAGTGTGTTGTGCTCTCCTCACAAAAACATAAGTGAATAATGTTTTTGGTAAATAATGAAAAATGAGTTAACTAAAGGGAAAGCACATCCCCGCAGCCTTATTTGCAAATGACATGATTCTAAGCTTATGAGGTGCCAAAGTTGCTCCTGGGAAGGTCTTTGGTTTAACTCTGAACTACGTGGTTACACTAATTCTACTACACTCCTACATTTTGATAGCTGCCATGATAAAAAATAATCAAAATTAAATCTAAGAACTCCCTAAAAACCACAAGTCTTCTCATTTTCCCTGTCATTTCCCCCTAGACTTGTGGATTCTACTTGCTTTGTTAGCATTATGGCTCAGTTCTAAAAGTTATACTGAGCCAGGCACAGTGCCACACTGGTGTAGTCCCAGTTAGGCCAGAGGCTGAGAAGGGAGGGTTCTGAGTTCAGAGCCAGCCCAGGGAAACCCGTGAGATTTTTCTCCATCAAGTAAGCAGACAACAGGACATATACACAGATTGAAATCTACTTTAGGATTTTCAATAAAACATCTGTAGTAAGAGGTTATCAATATCAACACAGGCTTGGTATATTTTCAGTCAAAAGAAATGTGATGTGATTCATCACATTAAACGACCCAAGTTAAAAGGTTAATAACCACAGCAGGCAAATTTATTTTTTCACACATAACATACTGACCAATGTAGTGTTTCTAGAAAACCAAAGTAACTTGATATTTATAAACAAGCCAAATAAATGAAACAATTTTATGGACTAGTTCCCATGATAAAAATAAGAAATGCTTCATGTTAGAGGCATCTTAATTCTTGAAATCTTTTTATTTAGTAATTTCTGGTAAGGAGATATACCATAGGAAAAGTAATTTCACTGGCAGTGAGGTATGTATATACGCTACCAAAATACTCCTTCGCTTTAACTGATTTTTAACTTTATTTACAGATGAAGAAAAGGATCAATGCACATGTCCTTGGTTCACCTCTATTAGCAACTACATGAAATGGCGTGGAATGAGTGCTTGCACACAAACTGTTGTTTGTAAAGGAGACTGGTCTGGGGTTAAAGGAACTAAGTTGCTTTTGGGAAGAGTTGAAGGGAGTCATCACAACTGATCATGATCAAGACGCCTGCACCATTACTTTCCATTCCTCACAGCACATTTATTTCGGTAATTCCATTATGTGGGTTCTTAGCATGAGCATAGTGTTACACAGTTTTCATACATTTAATCACATCCAAAACAAGGTCTAGCATTGAAATTGTAAACATTCTCATCATATGTAGAAATAGTTTGTGTATTAATAGTCTTGCTAACTGATCAAATTTGGAAGATAATATAAATGAGAAAGCCTATTCTAAATTGTGTAGTGAGCCTTGTTTATTAATTACATTTCTACAATGTTAAATAAAGAGACAACCCTGTCCTGTAAGCATGTCAAACTGTACGTAAAACATTACAAAGAAACAAATCTGTTAACAAAAGTATGTCTTGCAGTACAGAACATTAGATTTTTAAAATCTATTATGGTACAAAACTGGAAAGGGTAAATAGCATCTTTGTGGACAAAGTAGGAGGTAGCATGGTGCACCACTTCATTGTCTGAGAAATGCAACTGCAGTAAAGAATACTCCTTACCACAAATAGCTTCCAGGACTATGGACACATTTCTTTTAGAAATACTTGTTTAAACAAATCTCCCTCCAACTTTTTAGTATTAAAAAAAAACCATCATGTGATTAAAAAAAACACTTAACACATCTACATAGATAGTACTCTGCCCTATTTGGGTGAACAGTCTCAAACTATGAAGTACATGATATTTAATGCCCTAAAGTTGAGTAAATTTAGTTAGCAGTTCCTGGAATTATACAAAACACTAAATACATACCAACAAAATATAACGTCTTAGTTTTCTATGTAAGTGTGGGGAAGAAACAGAGCCTTGATTCTGGTAACACTGCAGAGAACACAATCTGATTTTCATCGAGTCTGTCTGTAAACCTGTGTGCAACACTTACAGATGGCTCTGTCAGATATAAGACCTTTGAGTAAACTCAGTCAACCAAATTCAGCAAACCTTGAAAACACGTCTCCACCCTATATAAAATATATAGACCACTTACTGTCCTAAGTGTACAGCTTGCTCTGATGCCACTTAATTCACGCTCCCCCATTTTCCTACTTTAGTATTTATAAATGGATGTGGCTTACAAAAAAAAAAAAAGACGAGAATTTTAAATTTACATCCAATTAAATTTGCTATTTAAAAGGGTTCCTGGTTCTATGAAGCTGCTTCTGCCATTAGTAAAGAAAATGAAGTTTCTGTAATAGAGGCAGGCTTTTTAAGTAGTGATGTGACTTCCACCATGCCAGCTCCAGTCCGTGGAAGATTAGCGTTTACAATGTGTCGCTGCAAGTGCTTAATCCAGTCTTCCTGAACAGACAATGGTCCCCGAAAGACTAGGCCACAAAACCTACAAGAAAAGAAGTAGATAATGGTAGTTCTCTTAAGGTAATTCTATTTCTCCATCTAAAGCCCATAATGTAAGAAGCAAATCTCACCATACACTACAGAGATAGAGTGCTTGTCTAACAAATCAGTGGTTCTCAACCTGTGGGCCACAACCCCTTGAAGCCGGACAACCCTTTCACAGGGGTCACCCAAGTCTACCCCGCACAGCAGATATTTTACATGGCAATTCTTTTTTTTTTTTTTTTTTTTAGATTTTATTTATTATGTATACAGCACTTCATGTATGTCTGCAGGCCAGAAGAGGGCACCAGATCTCATTACAGATGGTTGTGAGCCACCATGTGGTTGCTGGGAATTGAACTCAGGACCTCTGGAAGAGCAGCCAGTGCTCTTAACCACTGAGCCATCTCTCCAGCCCTTACATGACAATTCTTAACAGTAGCAAAGTTATGCATTGCTATGAAGTAGCAATGAAAATAACTGTATGGTTTTTTGGGGGGGGGGGGGTGTTTGAAAACCACTGTTTTAAATTAAGTTGAATCAATGTACTCCTTTATTAACAGATTTAGTAAATGCCCTTAATTTTTATAATGACATTTGGGTTAAAATTAACTAAGCAGGATTCTTTAGAAAAAAATCAATGTGCATGGACATTTTGCCTGCCTCTGTGTCCGTGCACCACCTGCATATGCCCATTGTCTTTGGAGCCGTAAAAGGGCACAGGACCCTGAGACTGCAAACTGCAAGCCATCACATGGGCAAAGGGAAAACCAAGGGTGGGTCCTCTGGAAGAGTAGGCAGTATTCTTAGCTTCTGAGCCATTTCCCCTGCCCCACTACATACTTTTATAACATCTAAATTCATTCACATGAATTATTCCAAAGGGTGTATCTCTCAAAAGAGCCTTCTCCAATTCAGAAGTACACTGTGCCTACGCATGTATCTGTTGAGGGTGCACCGAGGGAGGTGAGTTATGCAGGGAAAGAAAATGTGTTCTCAATAAGCAGGAACTTAAAGACAGCAGAAACAAACTAAATCCATCAAGTATATAAAGCACAACAATCAATTTACCACTTCTATAAATTACAGTGTAACACAGGCATATATTTGACTGATACACAAACCCAATCTTACTAGTTGTTGAAGCAAACTTAAGTATATGATGAATTAAGATTCTAAGCTGTCTCTGCAATATCATTTATAACTTTATTGTTGAGCATGCCACAAAATAAAAATGGCAACTAAAACAGCTCCCGTGTCTCAAAGGAAAACGAAGAAAGGGACGACGTTTGACAACAGAGGCATATACCTGCATCGGAGAATGTAAACCTCGTCAGCACCATGAGGTAATGTTAGCATTTTCTTCTTGCTTCCAGATCTTGACCTTGATTTCTTTTGCTTACAATCTAAGGCTAAAAAAGGAAGAGAAAGACTTAACATTCCTCATATACTTAAAGCACAGCTACACAAGAGAGGGCACGCCATCTGCATCTCAAAGGAGAAGGGTGTGTCCGGCTCCCACCCGGTTTACAGGGCATGCACCAACTTCCAGTGACTCACTCCTACAGCAGCTCTGACGCGCACATGCTCTGTGCTGCCTTTTTCAAATAATGGCCTCCTCCGCTCATGCAGATGAAGAAAACGTGGCTAAAGAACCAGGAGCTTGGCTGGTCAATAATTACAATAATGGGTATCTTTATTTATAATCACACGTAATTTCAACATTTTATTTCCAGGGAAATCACAACTTTTTAATGTTACTCAATTAAATTTGCATTTCATTACTACACTATTAAGTAAGTCTAGCAATCGAGCAATGGAATATCAACAATGAATGCAAGACAAAGCTCAACGAAAAGCCAACTTCCCCTGAAATTCAATAGCAAACAAAGCTCAGTTTTCATTTTTAAACTCAACCTATATTACAGGTACAATCATGCAGACATGTGAGTTTTACTAGGAAACAACTATAAATCTGGGTCATTTAAGTTCACAACTGGATCCAGTGTTTGATGCCAACGATTTTTTAGTTTTTCATTCTACATTTTCTCCAGTAGTTTATTTTAAAAATGTGATTTAAAAAGAAATACTTTTTAAAAGGGTAGACCAAATATTTTAGTATTGGTTTTGACACTTTTCCATTACTTAACCTTTCCCTTTAATAATTTACTCCTAATGCATGAATCAATGACAGAGAAGATTTCCACCAGTTGAACCGGGGGGAACACAAAGCTCTCCAGTCGGTGGACAGAGCTTCAGCACTCCTCTGCACAAAGCTCTCCAGTCGGTGGACAGAGCTTCAGCACTCCTCTGCACAAAGCTCTCCAGCCCGTGGACAGAGCTTCAGCACTCCTCTGCACAAAGCTCTCCAGCCCGTGGACAGAGCTTCAGCACTCCTCTGCACAAAGGGATAGCTGTAGGTGCTGGTGCTGCTGGCCAGACAACAGGAGGAGGAAGAGCTGCTCTCTAGGAACCTAGGCTGCAGGATCCAAACCTCACAGACAGAACTATTCATTCAAATGGCCTTCTCTCTTCTATCACCCACAAAATTCCAAGTAAGAGCACAGGGCAGGCTGCCCAATAGCCTGTGAAGTGGGCTGTTCCATGAGAACAGGCGTTGCTGTCACAGAACCAGAGACCGCAGCTCCTCATGGCAGTCTAGTGGAGAGGCCACAGAAATGCACACAGCAAACTAAAAACCGTGGGAACCTCAAAGCTCAGTCACTATTTCCAGCTTTTGTCACTTTTCTATTTGGCTCATAGCGCTTTCTTCTATTTATTATTAAATAAGAGGCCAATAAGCAAAGAACTGTTAGAGGCCAGGCGTTGAAGAATGGCTAATTCAAAGCTAAATAACCCAGCTCCAGAAAATACTTTTAGGGTCTCATTAGTTATTTCAGTCAAGAGCCTGGTACACAGCAGGGACTCAACAAATGCTTCTGCTGCAAAAATAAAGCAAAACCTAGTATTGAACCATTTGGCATTCAGATGATGTGTGAATGGAAATCTGTCCTACAACAAGGCAGTATGGGTGACACTCCTTTCTAACACCACTGCACCATTTGCTTACATTCTTTGGGATGTGTTACAGAGCAGTCTAACTTAAATGGAGAAACTAGATGCCTCATCACAATTAGTTTGAGTGAGCCAAACACCATATACTTCTTTTCCACAGCTGCTGCAGTGAGCAATCTAGAACTAAATGACTTTTAGGTGATCTGCTCTCTGGAAACTCCCTTCACCTATGAGACATGTCATGTCTACCTCTGTGATGCAGGACACAGCAAGAGCTTGCTAGTTGTCAAACTTGCCACACTATATTAAAAAAAACTTCTGTAGAATACAAATAGATTACCACAGGATTCAGACAGAATGCAACATAATGACCGGTAGAAGCCATCTTCAGAGTGCTACTGTTAGCAAATGGTCAGGAGGTCAAGGGATGTGTCATAAGCTACCAACTCAGCCACACAGACGTGCATGGTATTTTACTTGAGAGAAGAACAGCATTTTTTGAATTTTGATGCTGTACAGACTCTCGAAGTTGTTTTATGAATAGTAGTATCTAAAATTGTAAATGAAGCCATCAAAAGTTCAGCATTAACATTTGGAATTGGCATGACATCAGAGCCGTGTGGCCATCATTGTGCAGCTGGGGGTTTTTGGTAACTGGGTTTCCAAGCCAGGTTATACAAATTCTTCATTGAGAATCCTTACAAGTTTTTTCCTAAGATTAAGATATTTCCAAATCTCACACCTCTGGTAATAAAACCTGAAAGTCTAAATGTCTTACCATCTCCATTATTTTAAAATTCCTTGGTTCCCAGAACACTGTTTAATAATTCAAATGAATATAATGAGTAACAAGTTTTTTTTAATACTAGCATCCAACCTACCCATGTAATGCAGCCCACACATTTAGAAAAAAACTGTAAAAAAAAAACAAAACAAAACCCTAAGTAAGAGAGCCATGTACAAGGAAGACATTCATATGGCAACTGAATGTTCCATGGAATTTTGCAAAGGACAATGTACAAACATGTCTGTCTCAGAGGTATTCCAGATCAGCAATGTTCACTATTTTGGGCCTGGCACTGCATCTTAGTTCGTGCCCTTGTTTCCGTGTCTGCAACTGCATACAACGCTGGAGGAGGACAGAAGCGGCCGGGTGACTCAGGCCCTCACGTGCCCGCTGAGAACAGAAATGTGGGGGCGACCAGAATCACCCTATTTAGTAAGACAGCTGTGTTTTAGTAAATATGGAAAAACTCAAAAGACCCCACAGTGTTGTGCTATGAAACAGTCCAAAGCACTAATCAGGTGACAACAAGCAAGCCATTAGATGACATGCACATCCAAAGACAAGCCTGTTTTCTGAACAATTATTTCACTTTATACACAGCGATGTCATTATATAAAATCTCACTCTTGCCATCGCTCTGCTCAGTGTATAGTATACAATTATTGTTTCTAAGAATTTCTTCTTCATTACACAAATGACTTCAGAGGAATGAGGGTTTATTTGGTGTCAGCTGAAGCTTCTTCTGTGGCCAAGAAGAAGTACACCATGACTATATTAACATTCACCACTAACATTTTTAATTGCTCTCAATCACGCCTGCCCAGTTATTTAAGAGCTCTACTTCTTTAGCTGACTACTGGTTTACATCTATGTTTCTTAGTGTGTGGTCTGCTGCTATAACTGAATACCACAGACTGGGCAAATGGAAATAATGAAGTGCATCGCTTACAGTCCTGGAGTGCCCACGTGTGCTGAGGGCCTCCTTGCTCAGCACTAACATGGCAGGAGCTGGCTATGCATGGAAACCAAGAGGGCATTGGGCAAACCCATTATTATTTTTTTAATCACTGCTGTGCTAACTCATCCATTTCTAAAATAAAAGCATCAATCCATTCGTGAGGAGATAACCCTGTAGCTTCTAATCATCTCTTAAGACTCTAGTCTTTAACAATAAGATAGACATCTCATTTCAAAAGACAAGAACAAAAGAAACTTGTCCCATGTAAGTCAAAAAGCTAGTAAGAAAAATATTAAACCTTATAGCTCCAGAATGACCTTTCTCCATGTGCCTCCTGGACACAGTGAAGAGTCTGGGAGCCCCATCCCTAAGGTTTGTCTGACTCTGGGCAGACTTCCACTGGTAGGTGCGAGGCCAATGCCTGTAGCTGTCCCAGGCTCCTGTCACATGCTGGTGCTCCCACAGACTCAGGATCTTAGAGGATTCTGACTGTAACAGACGCACGCAGAGAACGCAGGTTCTCTGCAGCAGTTTGGTTCTGACTCCCATTTCGACTGGGCGCTGCTCTGGTTAACGCTCCCGCAGTTAACATGTTCTTGGGGGCTTGAAGATTCAATACCACTTGGAAACAGCAAAGGCTTCCCCACCTGTATCTTCCAGAGTGGGGGTCTACTAGATCACACATGACATTCCAGTGAAAGCTGCCACAGACCCACAAGCGCTGTCTTTACCTTCCTGCCAGGAGCAGCATGGGCCTCTTCACAGCTACAACTCTTTAGCTAAGGGTCTCCTGACACACTGAGGACTCACTCTCTCCCCAGCACATTCCCTCACCCTGTACATGCCCCAGGGTGATTCACTAGTGGCTACCCTGCCTCACTGTGATTACAAGAAGCTGCAGCATTAGACGGTGGCTGTTCTCTCACAGCTGCTGACAGCTAAGGTGGACACTCAGCTGTCTAACTCTGTTGTCAGGAAATGCCAGGCACCAGATAGTCTACTCCTTCCTTCCATGTTCCACACGATTCTGCCCGACTCTTCACAAGAACCTAACAAGGGCGACCCTTACACTTCGTTTCCAGTACTGTCTCAAGAGTTCAACGGCATGGCCTTTCTGTCCCCATTTCTGCCAATATTCCAATCACAGCACCTAAGGAATCCACAGCTGTCTTCTGACCCCGCACCTGGATCACTCAAGGCTCCGTACACAGCAATGCAAGCGGTTTTTTGTAGTATGCTCACCTAAAGCTTCCATCATGTAGTTCCAAAGGTGTCTGCACCCTCAGGTATTTGTAACAACAGTCCTACTTCTTAGCAACAACTTAACTCTCCAAATACACACACTCAGGATTCCGGAGGGTGGAGGCCACTGGCTGCACCAGACTGGACAAGCCGTTCTTCCTGGAGAACCCCAGACCTTCAGGAGTTAATAAAGGCCTGCATGAGGATACAGCCTTGATGGCCTCCACCTCTTAGTATGGTCATAACAGAAATTCAATTTCAGCCCAAACTTTAGAGGAGGGGAATCTTCAAACGACTCAGCCCTGGGTTGTGGTGAAGCATAATGGCATTTCACAGCCACTAAACAGAAGCGTGTTATAGCCCCACTAGAAGAAATACCTTTTCTACAAGGCTAGCACGCTCAACTTGAA